TGTGTTCATGTTGTGTGTTTTTGTGTTGATGTTGTGTGTCTGTGTGTTCATGTTGTGTGTCTGTGGGTGATGCAGGTCTCCTCACCTGTGACAGAGATCCAGCTGGACGGAGACTCTCCATGACCGCTGATGTTGCACCTGTAGAGGCCTTCATCCCACCTGGAAACATGGCCGATGGTCATGTGACCTCCGGGCTCCGCCCCGATGAGGGAGCCATCTTTATAGAAAGCAGCTGGGAGGCGGGAGTCCTGGCGCTTTGATTGACAGCTCAGAGTGAGGCCATCTCCCTCCATCACAGGGAGGACAGGACTCTGCAGGATCACTGGTCCACCTCAACACAGAGACAAACTCCAGCATGTCATCCATTCACACACAGCTTCATCAGCACTGACTGCACAGCTCATCTTACCAGCCACAGTGAGGTTGATGCTCTGACTGGCTGCTGCCTGGCTGGACTCGCACCAGTAAACGCCACTGTCCCACGGAACCAACAGACTGATGCTGCAGGTAGAACCAGATCGTTCTCCCCAGTCAACTCCACACTGAGACATGGGCCCTCTGGTGGTGTTTCTGGTCAGAGTCCCTCCAGCAGAGCCGTCGTCCTCCTCACAGCTCAGAGAAACAGAGTCTCCTCTAAAAAACTGAGACCTGCTGGGACTCACGTTCAGCTTCAGCTGGTTTGTTCTGCAGCACATCAGTGAGAGCAGAGCTGCAGAAGAATCACACTCAGGTCAGACTGAAGCGTCACATTGAGCAGAACATTGAGAAGCAGAGAGAACTTACAGAGCGACCACAGCAGAGATGTTCCCTCCATGCTGAGCTGCTGCTATGAGATGGTCTCTGTGATCAGCTGGCTGGCTTCAGTTAAGCCCTCCTCCTTCCTGACTCACTGCTGTGGTTTCCTCCTTCTGTGTTTGTAACAAAGCAGATAAATTCAGTCTAAAATGAGATGCATGAACAAAACCTTTACCGTTTTTTGTTATTTTGGAGGCTGTGACGCAAAGTCTGGTTGTAATTGTGAGCAAAGCGTGAACAACAACGAGAGCAGTTTGTAGTTACACAGTTTCTTTGTCTCTCTGCAGCTGGATCTCTCTGCAAAGTCAAACACATCTGGCAGCAACTACAGGCTGCACTTCGACAGTTTTTTTTTTTTCAACACCTCTGCTGCTGTGCGGGGTGGAAACGCTGACCTCAGAGCTGCTACACCTTCAACAAGGGTTTGGACGCATCGACAGGATGTCACACAAACTGCAGAATCCAGAACAAAAACATGTTCACTAACATGCACTGAACGCACGGTCCGAGGCGCGCCGCAGCCAGGAGGAGCCGGTAGGTGAGATTGTTGGGAGGCAGGAGCAAGAAGCGAGAGAGCGAGAACAGAAATCCAGCCTATTTATGGGTGGAGCAGTGGCTCTATCAATTACCAAAAAAAAAACTGAACTAAACATGCTCCAATAACACAAAACGAGGGGAAAATATGCAAAACTAAAGAAAGGGTAAAAAAATGTGCCCCCAGCACATAACAATGCAAAACAACCACAAACAGGCACAAAATGAGCACAAAGACAAACCAAACCGACGAGAAGTTCAATGCACATGGTTCACTAAAACACCGTCATCCAGCAGAGACACCTTCTGGCTGGAGGCGTGACTTAAACCACTGACATCCTGCATCCTTCACTGTGTAAACATACCAAACCTCCAACAATCCTGCAGAGCTGCTTGGACGGTCAGTGAAGGCATCTCTGCTGGATGGACTCTGAGGTGAAACAAGACTGAATAAAAACCCCAACAGGCGCCCAGTGGGATCATAACACTGACCTACATTCAGCAGCACTGTTCAGAAGAACTGATGATGTTTTCAGACAGATTAAAACCCCCGAGACTGGACAAACAGAAGCTGCAGTCCTCATCCTACAATAAAAGACGGCAAAAGAGCTTCAGATCACCTCTGAGGACTCACGGCTGAGCTGGTAGCCGTGTGGACGTTTGTGCAACGACTGGAAAACAACAACAGCAACAACAACAAGCACTTACAAAGCACTTGGATAGCCCTCAGCACTCACAGGTGTCAAATCTGGAAAATCATGTAGACCTGGGTTCTGTACTACGAAGCCATATCAGTGGGTTCTGATCAGGTCTGTTGAGCCTAGAGCCAGATTTTTTAGTGTCATGAAGGTGGCTCTCGGTTTACCTGCTATGTCTTCATGGTAACTGATGCTGCGGAGCTAGGTCTCCATGGTAATTGATGCTGTGCAGTTAGGTCTCCTTGGCAACTAATGCTGTGGAGCTAGATCTCCATGGTAACTCATGCTGTGGAGTTAGGTCTCCATGGTAACTGATGCTGTGCAACTAGCCTGGTCCAGGTTCTGTTCAGAGTTCCAGATGTAAACCGGCTGACAGAGCGTCTCCCTTTAACCAGATGGTTTCCTGACTGTTATTTTGGAGCGATCCAGATTCTCAGCTGAGGGAATGTGTTTTATCTGCGTGTTACTAATATCACTTAATAAAGCTGTGGAGTTATTACAGAGAATATTTCATCAATAACATTAATGTCACTTTGATTTGGCCAAAACCTAAAGTGATTTCCTGCATTATGGGACAGTGTCAGACCTAAATGGCCTTCAATACAAGAACAGGTTTCGAACAGCCAAAGTCACACTGATCCGCTCATGTGAAGAGAAACATCATAACTGTGACCAGTGTGAGAAAACTTTGAAAACATCGCAACAGCTGAAGGTTCATTGGAGATGTTACTCTGAGAGACCATACAGTTTGTGTTACTGTGACAAAGCTTTCACTTGTGTCGCATTTACACTGTTAGACACAAAAACACAAAGACAAAAAGGCCACACAAAAAACCCCAGTACGATGCAAAAAAAAATGTAAAAAAAAAATCCACAGACACAAAAACAACCACAAAGTGACATTAAGCATCAATAAAAACACACGAAACCAATGAGACACAAAAATTAACAAAAAAAACAGAAATGACACAAAATGACCATGGACGCAAAACGACAACAGAAACATGCAAAGAGACAAAAAATCATTACAAAGAGACACAAAACAACCAGAAACTCCGATGATCACAGCAACACAATCGCAGCACAGAGACCTTGTGTCACATCTACACACTGAGACACAAAATGACACATAAAGAAACACAAAACGAATCCAAACAGAGATTTAATGTCGTAGTGTTCAAAGATAAAACTCAGCAACAACATACATGTGACTTACAGCTGACTGTGTTTTACGATATAAAAACATTCCACCACAGAAATGCAGACTAAATTTGCATTCAAACAGCACAAACCAAAGGATGTGTGCAGCATCTGTCGTCTTTGCATGCAGACTGTGTTTCTGCTGAAAGGAAGCAGAGCTTCATTTCCATCTACCATCACAGAGCTCATGTGTCTGCTGTAATTAGCCGACAGTATAAAGTATCACGACATGAATCAGATACTTGAATGGTTTTCTAACATGCAAAAAACCTCAGAGATTGTCTGCAGTCCATCATCACACACGCAAACACACAAACACAGACACACAAACACGCCATCATGCACAAGTATTAATACAGAAGGTCCAGCAGAGCTGCAGTCCAGCCTGGAGACACGAGTTCAACCACGAACCCTGAACAGGTAAGAGTCTTTTCATCAGTTCCTTATGATTTGGCTGTCAAACTAATATTTCTGTTGTTGATTCTGTAAATAATCCGACACTGCCCTTAAATTTACGTCATGTGGAAGATAAAATCTCTGAGTTTGTTTGACAAAGTTTTGTTTGTTCAACAATTTGGATCATTTCATATGAAACCAAACAAATCTGAATAAAGTTCCTCCTGAGCTCCTCAGAACCACCTGATTCTTTGTCTACAGCAACTTTAGCACATTTAATAAAGTTCTACCTTCAGACTGTGAATATTTTCAGACTTTCAGGCCCTTGAAGTCTGAGATTTATCACTGGATAAACTTCTAAGAAATCAAACAAGCTTTAAAAGCTGCAAACTGGTTTGGTCGATGCCATTTGTCCAATTTATACAACATGTGAACGCTGATGTTGTTTCTCTGTTTCATAGCCAGAAGATTCATTCACCAAAGTTTCATAAGAAAATATTAGAAAATGATTTAACCTCAGACTGGATCCTGTCTACAGATGGTTCTGGTAGGTTCTGGAGGTAAACCGGTCCTTTCATTGTCTAGAACCAGGTCTGACCAACCACCATCACACATGCTGATATGAGCCTGGAACGTTTACCCAGAATGCACTATGTGAATTTTCCTCTGGTGACTGATCAGAACCAGAACCACATCCAGGGTACCACTGATTGTTTCTATGACTCCATGTCATAAACATTAAACTGGTACCACTATGATCCATCCCATAATACTGATGCTACCAGCTGCTGACAGAGGACATGAACAGAACCAGGTCCAGTGTTCAGACAGAGACACCTGGATGGATGTAGAACTGATCTGGTGTCAGGTTCTAGCAGAACCCAGATGTGTTCTTCCTCCTAAATGTCATGTGTCTATCTGCTGTACTGATGAAGTTCTGAGGCTCAGAAATGATGGAAAAAGTCCATTAAAGTGATCAATCTGGACCCTCCTCTGTGGACTTCAAGGACCTGGACCTCTGAAGGTAGAACTCTGGTCAGTAGATACAGGTGCTGCAGATAGAGAACCAGATGTTCAGAGGAGGTTGAAGCTCTGACTCATTAATGGTCCATTTGTTGATTTATTTCTTCATGTTCTTGTATCTTGTTGTCGTCTCCTCAGCTCCATATCAGCAGTGATGTCCTTCAACTCATCCTCCAACTGGTCCTCCATGTCTCCTGCCTCCGTCGGGTGCTTTAACTACAGATCCAGTGTTTTCATCTTTGTGTCCTTCTCGGCCACCAACATCTTGGTCCTCCTTCCTCTCTGCGTCCTCGTCCTCCACCTCGGTCTCCAGCAATGGCGGCAGAAACGGCGCTCGGCTTTGGTGGCGACGAGCCACTCAGACGTCTTCACCTACCACATGGTCGCCATGGAGACAATCGGCGTGGCGGGCTGCGGCTTCTTCTGCGGTGGCGTCTGCTTCAGCGCGTCCTGGTCGATGGTGACGGGCCTCTACCTTTACTCCGTCACCTCTTATGGACAGGTTCTCTTCCACACCCTCACCTGTGCAGAGCGCCACCTGGCTGTGGTTCATCCAATCACCTACCTGGGTCTGAGGAAAAGGGGCGGGATCAGAGTCAGAACCTTTTGCGTTCTGTGCGTTTGGCTGCTTTTCTTCGCTTCCTTCGGTCTTATTGAAAGTTTCAGCGCCGTCGCACTTTTGTGCATCTCGGCTCTCTCGGCCGTCGTCGTCTCTTTCTTCAGCCTGTCGGTTCTTCGCGCTCTGATTGGTCCAGGGCCGGGCGAAGGGGGCGGGGACAAGGAGCAAGTCCACCACTCAAAGATGAGGGCGTTCCACACCATGGTGGCCATACTGGGAGCTCTGGTGTTGAGGTTCGTAGGACACATGCTGGTTCTGGTGGTCCACTCGTACTCTGCAGCGCCTGAGCGTGTCCGGTGTGCGGTTCTGGTGTCGGGAGTCTGGTTCTGTCTGCCCAGCAGTCTGGTGTTACCGCTGCTGTTTCTGCACAGAGCAGGAAAGCTGCTGTGGTGACGGGAAGAGCAGCACCGGGGCGGCGCTTCGTCTTTTAACCACACAATCAGGTAATCAGGCAAATGAAAGGATGGTCACATGAGCAGAACATTTATAGTCACGCATGTCAGAAATAGTGAAGGAAGAAAAACTCTGAATGTTGTCAAAACACATTTTCTAGTTAAAGAAACGACCAAAGTTTGTTTTCAGACCGTTGAAATCATAGAATGACGGCTGATCTGCTCTGAATCCAGCTCAGGA